TGCAGAAGAGCGATGGTGTAAAAGTCTTGCAGACTCAGGTGGTACAGCGTGAACAACCTGGCAAAGAGTGTTCACAAATGTGGCAACAATCAATACTGCTGCATGCGCGGCTGCAGATACTTGGTTGAACAGGACCCGTGATGACCCGCGTAGCACAAATTGACAACCTCAAAGGTAACATGTGGGCAGACCGGCAGACCGGGTAGCACCGTGACTGGTGTGGTGCAGCCAGTTTGCAGGACAAATGTGGCGAATGCCAGGGACACAATGCCACTTGGTGAGAAAACAAAAAGTTGGTGCATGCCACAAATAGGGAAAGCGACAGACCATATCCTTTTTTTGTTTTTTGGGTTTGTGTGCATATGTCTAATATATACCTATACCTATACCTAGACCTAGACCTGGACCTAGACCTGGACCTGGACCTAGACCCAAATACCTACATACCTACATACCTACATACATACCTACATACCTACATACCTACATACCTACATACCTACATACCTGCATACCCGCATACCCGCATACCCACATTCAAAGGAACTCTTTAGTGGCATGACTGGAACATGCATTCTTCACAGCAGGGCTACCTTAGATGATCCGGTGTTCTCCTCTGATCACCCTGCCCTTTCCTTTGAACACCACTGTTTTTTTTTTTTTTGTTTTCTTCTGTTTTCTTTTTTTCCTCTATCAATGTGTTTTCTGCAACAGGTGGTCCACATTGACACCAAGGTATGGGCCAAAAGCTAGCGGTGGCAACCTTTCCAGCGCATGGGTTGCACCAAAAAATGGCTCTAAATTGTGGGAGGAAGCCAAAAGAAACAACAAGAAACACAAAGGAACTAGCTAAAATCAGTTCTTCTTAGATGATCTCATTTTTCCTTTGTTTTCCTTTGGTTTCCTTGGGTTTCCAAGGGAGAAACAAAGGACAAGAAAATCCAAGGAAATGAAAGACAAAGCAACCAAGGAAAACCCAAGGAGGCTATAAGCCCGTAGAATGCATCAATCATGCAGGTTACTAAGGAGGCTGCTAGGTGCATACCTACATACATACATACATACCTACATACCTACATACAAAGATAGAAAGATAGAAAGATAGAAAGATAGAAAGATAGAAAGATAGAAAGATACATACATACGTACGTACGTACGTACGTACGTACATACGTACATACGTACATACGTACGTACATACGTACATACGTAGATACGTACATACGTACATACGTACATACGTACATACGTACATACGTACATACGTACATACGTACATACGTACATACGTACATACGTACATACATACGTACATACATACACATACATACACATACATACACATACATATACATACATATACATACATATACATACATATGCATACATATGCATACATATACATACATAAACATACATAGACATACATAGACATACATAGACATACATATACATACATTTGCATACATATACACACATATACATACTTCTACATACATACACATATGCATATACATATACATATACATGATCCCGTCTTCCGCTCGCGAGGTCCCCCCCCTCCCCCGAATGGGATGGGTCCCCAGGTAGCACCCCCCCCAGGTAGCACCCCCACTTCCCTTCTATTTGCAAGCTATTGGCAGCATTTCTGAGGTCCAGCCTCGCATTTGCTAGGTTTTTGCAGCGATTCTGACTACCAGCCTCCCATTTACTAGGTACATGCTACCCTTTAGACGACCTGCGTAGCACACATACTCCCTCAAAGTGCCTACGTGCTATCTATAGTTATATATACATGTGCTATGTATCTACTTCCTATATATATATATATATACGTATATATATATATTTACATGTTATCGATACATACATATGTGTATATATAATATATATATATATAAGTATAAGTATATTATGCATATATATATATACATAAGTATATTATACACATATATATATATATATATGTACTGTGTATTATACATATATATATATTTACACACACATATATACACATATTTTCATATATATATATATAAGCATTTATATGATTGTATATATATATATATATACGCAGTACCACACCCCCACCACACCACAGGGGGGGGCGGGGAACATAGGTCCTGTATATCCCTACCCATGCCTACTACTAACAACTACTAACTACTACTAACTACTACTATACCCCCCCACCCGCCTACCCACCCACAGGGGGGGCGGGGAACATAGCTCCTGTATATCCATACCCAATCCTACTACTAACTGCTACTCACTACTACTAACTACTACTAACCCCCCCACCCCCTACCCACCCACAGGGGGGGGCGGGGAACATAGCTCCTGTATACCCATACTCATTGGGGGGGGGAGGGGGGGGACCTAGGAGGCTGCATCATACATATACATATACATATACATACACATACAAACATACATACACACATATACATACACATACAAACATACGTACGTACATACATACATACATACATAGGTACATGCATACATACATGTATCATACATGCATGTATCACACATACATGTATCATAGATACATGTATCATATATCATAGATACATGTATCATACATGCATGTATCATACATACTTGTATCATACATACATGTATCATACAGAAATGTATACATACAGACATGTATACATACATACATACCTACCTACATACATACATACTTACTTACTCATACATACATAGTTACTCATACATACATACTTACTCAATACAGACATACATACCTACATACCTACATACATACATACATACATATTACTTACTTACTTACTCACTCACTTACTTACTTACTTACTTACTTACCTGCCTACCTACTTACTTACTTACTTACTTACTTACTCATACATACATACATGTATACATCCATACATACATACATACATACATACATCCATGCATGCATACATACATGCATACATACATACATACATAATCATCCATACATACATGCATAATCATACATCCATTCATGGATCATACATCCATGCATAATCATACATCCATACAAAATCACACATCCATGCATAATCATACATCCATACAAAATCATACATCCATACATAATCATACATCCATACATAATTATACATACATATTTATACATACATAATTATACATAATTATACATAATTATACATACGTACATACATACATACATACATACACTCATACATACATACATACATACATACATACATACATACATACATACATACATACAAATATACATACATACATACATACATACATGCATAATCATACATACATACATACATGCATAATCATGCATACATACATACATACATACATACATGCATAATCATACATCCATGCATAATCATACATCCATACAAAATCATACATCCATACATAATCATACATCCATACATAATTATACATACATACACACTCATACATACATACATACAAACATACATAGTCATACATACATACATACGTACCTACATACACACTCATACATACATACATAGATAGGTAGGTACATACATACATACATACATTCATTCATACATACATTCATTCACACATACATACACATACACTTACAAATACATACATATGCATACATATACATACATATCAATTTACATATACATATACATATACATAGGCATATACATTTACATGTACATGTGCATATACATTTACATGTACATATACATATACATGCATAGACATACATATACAAACAAAAACATACATATACAGGCATATACATTCCTACATATATATGTATATATATTTATATACATACATGTATACATGTATACATATACATACATATACATACATATGCATACATATCCATACATATACATACATATACATACATATGCATACATATACAGACATATACATTCCTACATATATATGTAAATATTTACATACATGTATACATGTATACATATACATACATCTACATAAATATGCATACATATCCATACATATACATACATATACATACTTATACATACATATGCATACATATACACACATATACACACATATACACACATATACATACATATACATACATATACATACATATGCATACATATACATACATATACATACATATGTATACATATCCAGCATATACATACATATACATACATATACATACATATGCATACATACATGCATGCATACATACATACATACATACATACATACATACATACACACATATACATACATATGCATACATATGCATACATATGCATACATATGCATACTCATACATACTCATACATACTCATACATACTCATACATACTCATACATACTCATACATACTCATACATACTCATACATACTCATACATACTCGTACATACTCATACATACTCATACATACTCATACATACTCATACATACATAATCATACATAATCATACATAATCATACATAATCATACATAATCATACATACTCATACATAATCATGCATACTCGTACATACTCATACATACTCATACATACTCATACATACTCACACATACTCATACATACTCATACATACTCATACATACTCGTACATACTCATACATACTCATACATACTCATACATACTCATACATACTCATACATACTCATACATACTCATACATACTCATACATACTCATACATACTCATACATACTCATACATACACATACATACACATACATACATACACATACATACATACATACATAGAGGCTCGTCTCTACTATCGCATCCGGTTCAAGGACATTGGGAGCTTTGTGAGGCAATGCCAAGAGGAGATGCGCCTCTGCTTTCCTTTCAGCCTTGGGATGCCCTGCGAGTTTATCGTGGAACCGCCAATTCCTGATGTCGACTCTCGGAAAAAAGAGTTCCAGGCGGCTGTGGCGAGATTGGCTTCGGCTGGGATCGTGATGGCCCCTCCGGACTAGGCAGTTCCGGTCTATTCTAGTGTCTTGATATCG